AAAACTGCTCTTTGAAAATCGCTTAGCGGGAACGCTCTTTCCCACTATGCGATATGCAAACAGAGCCAAAGGCATTTAAATCATTATGTTAACACAAGGCAGGTAAAAAAGGATCACAACATACCTGCAATAAATTACTGAAAGTCGTGTCTGCTTACCTGCATACAATTTACCCCCGGTTCACATATATGCGGCCATGCGGGCTGCGTTTTGCACGGGCACGAGATCCCATTCATTTGAATGGACTCCCGTGCCCGTGACACGCAGGGACAAAGTCCCTGCATTCTTTGGAAAACGCAGCCTGCATGGGAATCTCGGTTCCCAGTACAATTGCGTTTTCCAGTGCTGGCGGCGTGCCATTAGAACTAATGGCACCCGCCCGCGGGTCCGCATTTCTCTGTGCGGGTGGTGATTTTCGTGCGGATCCGCAGCGGCACCACCCGCACATATGTGAAACTAGGGTTATTATTATTTTTCCTGCTTTCCTAGTAATGGATGGGGCTGTCTGGGAGCTGATAGTCTAAACATTCACAGGCGAGCTCATAAAAAAAGAAAATTAGATGTTGCTTTGATTATGTTATGTATCCAGTTACGTAAATGCAAGTGTTGACTTGGGTTCAGATTTTTTTCAGTACAGTTTTTTTTTACGTTGATTACATTTCACAATGTTATGTACAAGGCCAGCTTTAAGTCTGTGCCCTGTCATCTTATTGCTGATACTGAAGTTGCCATTTAAAACCACTAGCTTGACAAACATTTTGGTGAGGCAAGTAGTTTATAATAATCCCTATCAGTGCAGCTGACTTTGCTATTTCTCCGGTGACAGATGCAAACTGTATGCCAGCTTCAGATTGGCACACTTTGGCCATCATTCAGAAGCCAAGATGCAATTCGTATCCAGCCCTTTTAGAGGTGCAGTCAGTGAGCTTAGCTGTCAGGGTGATCCCATACTTACATTTACTGCACAAATTATTTTTAAGTGTCTTTTAAATTAGAGTTACATTATTGATAAGGTCAATGAGCCCCATGTAAGCAGCTGCTTTTTCATTTTAGAAACTCCAAACCCAACACTGTATGCATAGCACTTCATGGCAAAGTGGCAACTCCTTTTCTATTGGCTAACTTGGTACTCTTTGCAAGAGCGTTTCCTGTAGAAGCTAAATATCTGCTGGCTGATAGTAACATGACAGCTGTCTGCCAATAGGCATCTGCATGACAACATGGCATGCCTCTAGCCTGTTAAGATTTGCATTTCACTGGTTAGAAGGCACCCCTCATGTCAGACCACTGGCATCATGTCACATTTCTGGATCCTTTAACCTATATAATTACATAGTCTGGCTAAAAAAAGACAAAAGTCCATCCAGTTCAACCATTAAAAGAAAAAAAAAGTTATCCTATACCCACAGTTGATCCAGAGGAAGGCAAAAAAACCCAGCAAAGCATGATCCAATTTGCTCCTACAGGGAAAAAATTCCTCCCTGATCCCCCGAGAGGGGGGGCCTAGCTCTTGCAGAAAGGTAAATGCCTGCCCTGGTATGACACTACACTTTCAATGTGACATGCCTTAGTATGATTCCATGGGTTTTATACCCTGACGCTGCTTTTAGAAAATTCCACACTACTGTATTTGTTAATCAGTGTGCTGCCAAGTCTCTTGTTGCTGAGTTGGTGATGCATGTCCACACAGCAAGAGAGGAGGAAAACTTGTAGCAGCTCAGCACTAGGGACAACAATAAGGAGTAGAGGATCCATTCCAAGCTTCTGTTTCTTACTGTATTGATACATAGTGCCATTGCTAGGCCCTGAAGTTTGTTCCTGGGATCTCCTGCTGGGTGCCCTGACTCTAGACAGGGTCAAGGTCCCAGGACTCAAAGTGGCTGAAAAGAGAAGACAGAGAAGAGCTCCTCATGCTTCTACATTACCGTAGCAATTAGTATTAGAAGAGACAGAGAAGAGCTCCTCATGCTTTTACAATACCTTAGCAATGAGTATTAGAGAAGACAGAGAAGAGCTCCCCATGCTTCTACATTACCCTAGCAATGAGTATTAGAGGACACAGAGAAGAGCTCCTCATGCTTCTACATTACCCTAACCATGAGTATTAGAAGAGACAGAGAAGAGCTCCCCATACTTCTACATTACCCTAGCAATGAGTATTAGAGGAGACAGAGAAGAGCTCCCCATGCTTCTACATTACCCTAACAATGAGTATTAGAGAAGACAGAGAAGAGCTCCTCATGCTTCTACATTACCCTAGCAATGATTATTAGAGGACACAGAGAAGAGCTCCTCATGCTTCTACATTACCCTAACCTTGAGTATTAGAAGAGACAGAGAAGAGCTCCCCATACTTCTACATTACCCTAGCAATGAGTATTAGAGGAGACAGAGAAGAGCTCCCCATGCTTCTACATTACCCTAGCAATGAGTATTAGAGAAGACAGAGAAGAGCTCCTCGTGCTTCTACATTACCCTAGCAATGATTATTAGAGGAGACAGAGAAGAGCTCCTCATGCTTCTACATTACCCTAGCAATGATTATTAGAGGAGACGGAGAAGAGCTCCTCATGCTTCTTAATTATTCTAGTAATGAGCATTAGAAAAAAAAAAGGTGCAACAGTGGAAGACAAATGTAAAAGAAACAGAAAACAGAAAACACGAGACAGGGAGAGCAGAAAAGGCCATGCACATTGTTCATTGTGGTACTGTGTGACTTTTTACTCTAGTTGGAGTCTGACTATCCTGACAGTTACAAATGATACCATTTATTGAGCACTCCACTGTGTTTACCTGCTTTTAATCTAACGTTTAAGGGTCTGACAGTACCATTCAGGTCCCTTTTGTATAACAGGTGTGTTTATGAGATATGGAGAACTACAGTTCCCCCTACAGTTCCCCATACATTCAGTGCTATCTGCGCAGTCTACCATTTTTTAATGATACAGGGCAAACAAAGGGAAAAATGACCATTTGAACATCACCTGTGTCTTTCTTTCCTTTTTTTCTTTTCTGCTGTCCATCTGAAAAATCTTCAGTGGTGTACATAAAAATCATGATGTATCACTGTCATTAACTAGACACCAGATTGAACCACTATCACCATTTTTAGATGGCAATGGTAATCCATTTTGAAATCTTCGTTAGTGTAAATCAGGATTATAAAAAGGATTAGAAGGATTAGCAGGCAAGTGCATAACAGAAGCTCTTGAGTTCATCACCCTCTGAAACTAAAGGCAGAGATTAGCTCAGTCTCATTGGGAGATCAGGAATCAGGCATATATGGCTTGATGTAAGCATTATATACCCAGCAGGTTTTTTTTTTTCCAGCACTGCATTTAAATTTTTATTGGTTTCTGTTGGGTACAATTAGGAAATAGCACTGACCAATAAATCCTTAAAGGATGAGTTCACCTTTTGGACAAACATAATAAATAATTTTGCAGGTAAAAAAATGTGCATGTAGTAATTTTGTCCAAAGGAACCTGGAAAGTATTACACCAGTGATCAGTAGATCGCTGATACCATGCAGGTCTCCAGCAGACCTGTCAGAATATCCATTTAAGTATATAAACCCTTTTAAGTGCTATACATATGTATCCTCAAATAATAAGTGAAAGTCCATAAAGTTCCAATCTTTTCAAAAATTACCAACAAGTGTCCATAAATAATAAAGTCACTCGAAAATATTGGTCCAAAAGGAAAAAATCATAAATCTTTCCGCAGAGCCCCCCCAAATGGCTCCAAAGACGACGTATACCTCAAAACAAGAAAAACTCAATAGTGCATTATCCTTGATTGAGATAAATCATAAACGATGTAACATATGTGCACTGATCACTCCAAATAAAAACGTGACCATCATATGTGATTGTAAACACTTGTGCAACAATGATAGTGTAACACACTATGAATTAAAGATTCTAAACAGATATACTTTCCTGTGACATTCAGTGTACACTTCTAAAGTGTCTGAATTAAATACCCTTACCAAATGAGTAATAAAGCACACTTTTACTCCAGAAGAGGGTATATAGCTGTATTGTCCACATGGATGCCTTCAGAACCTCAGTATATATACTCCATTGTACCAATGCTCCATAGTATACATAGGAAAAAGGAACAGACCCATATACTGTAATTCCGTTTGAAATTGTAAAAAAACACTTTATTCATTACTCTTACATTCTATCAGCATAAAAAACCGCATTATTCCCATGACTCCAACCTTGCAGCAGCTTCCAGGAATGCCAGGTATAGTTTTCCCACCTTCAGAATGGCCGCTCCACTACGTCCGGTCCTCGTTTCGTCACTTCCAAACTCATACAAGTAAATGGCTGTTCCTCAGTTTGTCCGGCACAGATATCTGGTTCCAGGTTGGAGCCTCCAACCCAGAGGACCGGACACAGCGGAGCGGCCATTTTGAAAGTGGGAAAACTATACCTGGCGTTCCTGGAAGCTGGGTACACTGGGTACGCAGTGACAGGACTTCCGGGGGGGCTGTGACGTCACTTCTGGCACGGGCACCATATTGGGACACCAGGAACCATGCAGTACACCCATTATATGAGGGAAAAGGCTGATTGTTATCTTCATTAATGTGAGTGGGCATTTTATAGTGTTTTTTCACCTAATAAATACTGATTCACACTATGGAGGATCTTTTTTGTTTCTACTATGATCCTTTGATGTGAGTGGCTTACAAGAGTACCCAATGGTTGGAGTGAGTTCAGGAGGAATATTGGCTTTACTGAGGTATCCAGCACGATCTTTCTAATGACGCGGTAGTTTCCTGTGCGGAATGTGGTTGATCCATTAACCACCTCCCGCCCGCCCGCCATATAGTAATATGACGGACGCAAGGTGGTTCTCTCGTTCTGGGATTACGTCATATGATGTCCTCCCATTCTCACCGCGCATGCACGGCTCCCGGTGCATGCAGCGCAGCGATCGGCAATGCGTTGTGTCCCTCGGACACAGCGGATTACCGATCCACAGAAAGAGCCGAAGATGTCAGCTCGGTCATGTGGTCAGCTGTGTCCAATCACAGCTGATCACATGTAAACGGAAATGCCGGTTATCGGCATTTCTCTCCTCTCGAGCTGTCACGCTGACAGCTTGAGAGGAGAGGAGAGCCGGTAATTGGCATTCCGTGGAGGGGACATCTACACTGATCATCAGAGCACTGATGATCAGTGTAGCCCCAGCAGTGCCACCTGTCAGTGTCCATTAGTGCCAGCTGTCAGTGCTCATCAGTGCCATGTGCCAGTGCCCATCAGTGCCACATCAATGCCACATATCAGTGCCTACCAGTGCACATCAATGCCACATATCAGTGCCCATCTGAGCTGCCTTTCAGTGTCACCCGTTAGTGCCACATATCAGTGCCGCCTATCGGTGCCCGTCAGTGCCACCTATCAGTGCCCGTCAGTGCCGCCTAACAGTGCCAGTCAGTGCCGCCTATCAGTGCCACCTATCAGTGCTGCCTTTCAGTGCCCATCAGTGATGCCTGTCAGTGCCCATCAGTGCCACCTACCAGTGCCTCCTCATCAGTGCCACCTATCATTGTCCATCAGTGCAGCCTATCAATGCCCATCTCTGCAGCCTCATTAGCGCACATCAGTGAAGGAGAAAAATCACTTATTTACAAAATTTTATAACAAAAACTAAGAAAAAACGTTTGTTTTTTCAAAATTTTCAGTGGTTTTTGGTTTGTTTAAGAAAAAATATAAAAACCCAGAGTTGATTAAATACCACCAAAATAAAGCTCTATCTGTCACAAAAGAATTATAAAAATTTCATATGGGTACAGTGTTGCATGACCACGCAATTGTCATTCAAATGCAACAGCGCTGAAAGCTAGAAATTGGCCTGGGCAGGAAGGGGGTATAAGTGCCCTGTAGGCTTGTGGTTAAGCGAGCTGGCCCTTGTGGTCACTGTAAGGAGGTGAGGGGGCACTCAGGCCACTTAAGGATTATCATCACGATTATTGGCACCAGTTTCACTTTCACGTTTTGCTGATTTATTTGTGTTCACAAGAGTGTGTTAAAGTAGATGTTTTTGTATGGACTGAACAAAATCCATTTATCACTGTTTGTTTTGATGTTATTAGGTGTTGTTACACCTGCACTTTTTACTTATGTGTATTGTGTTCCCATGAGAGGGAATCACTTGATTCACTAATATTTGTTATTTGATCCCCCAGCTGGCAATTAAGGGGGGTTTTCTGATTGTTTATTCACTTTATATAGGTTTATGACATTATTCACTCGTTTTGTGTTGCATGTGTGATTTATTTATATACTCATTTATATACTGATTTGTGTTTATATATGTTATGCATTAGTATTTATTAGCTCGACACCTGCTGGCTTGTGTTTGCTTTCAGTCATAAATGCATAAGTCAACAACAAAACACACTGGTATCTACATGTGTCCAATAAAGACTATTATAGAAGCTGCTCTAGTGTGTTGTTGTTGTTGGCTTGTGTTTTTGTAAATGACAGCTTTGCACTACAGAGCAGTCATTCATAACACAAGCTAACAGTTACAACTGTACTCTCTAATGAAAAAGCAGGCTGCAGCTCAGCAGTATTATTTTAAAAACAAATATTGCAAAAGAGGCACAGGGCTTTAAAATTACACAAGAGAACTGTAGAATAAAAGAAGGGGGGGGGGTGCATCAGTGTTGGCTGTACTGCCCCCGCCCGTAAATTGGGCTTCAGCCTGGGTTGAGCCACAATCCACACACTAAAAACTGTAAACTTAATTAAAAAACACTACACATTATTTTAATGGGAGCAAGTGCTATATGCACGTAGTCCTCTGGGGGATTTAACAAGGGATTTAATGTTCTGGTGATACTTTTTTAACCAGCTTGGGTATTTATTCTGGTGATCTGGTTACACATTTGACCTGCCTTTAATGTTATGGACAGTTTATAAAAGAAATTGTGTAAATGCTGGCTTGTCTGATTAATGTAAAGGCTTTGACAAAAAATAAAATAAGGGAACATATTAAAATAAGCAATATACTGTATTTAAAAAGATATACAAAATTAAAATTGAAAATTGTGTGAAAGTAGACAGTTCATTTCAAGTTTTAAGACATGTCCCTTTTTAGATAAGCAGTCTTGATATAGACCATTTAATCCTTCAAGGACTTGGCATTATTTCACTCTAACCATAAAGAAAGTGAACAAATGGGTATAGGAATCGAGAGTAATTCAGAAGAGTGCATGAAATAATGTCTAATATATTTCTGCCTGAGAGCTGGCATTTCAGCAAACCTTTACCCTTGCATTCTCCTTGTACCATAACTTTCGGAATTTCACTCAGCCCTTGAGTTATTGCCAATTCATCCAAATAATCTCTGCTATTTCAATATCAAGTTTTTTTTTTTCTCATTTGGATGTCAACCAAGATTTTTGTTCCACTTTGAAAAAATATACAAAAGGGAGAAAAAAAATTAAATGAATGCAACATTTTGCAAAAGGCATCATTTACATACTATGCTAAATTAAACAAACATATTAGCTTGCATTTTCTAATGCTGGATATAAAGCCATCATTTAGGTATTTCCGTTCTCCTTCCTAGAAATAGAACAAGGATTTAAGTCGTTCTCTAATGCACCTTGTAGAAACCTCTTGAATGGAAGCCAGTAGGTAGCACTGTGTTCCCTCTGTTGGCATTGCTTTGCTTTTGTGAAGGTCATAGAACTGGTTCCATAGTATTATAATGGAAACTAGAGTTAAGGGTTTGCTCTTAGAGTAAACCATATTTTTATATTAATTTTGCAGTGCAGGTTTATTGCACTTTATATTTATTTCAGTTGTTCAGATCAATTAGCGTATAAAAACAATACATGATATGAAGTAATGTCCACATGCACTCATTTATATGAACTGTGTCTTTTCACCAAAGCTGGTCAGACAGTTGTTTGGTTTCTTTTTTAATGTATCATCCTTTCTTATGGCAAATATTTTCTGGAAACACTGTCCCCTAACAATTTAATGGCTTTGATTCACAATAATTGTTAGGTACCTGCAATCATCCTTCCCTACCTATGTATGCTTGCCTGAAAACAGGGCAGTGCTGGTCCTAGTATGAGGTTTTGTATTAGATGTAATTTTATAAAATCTGATTTAATCATTTTGATGGATAATTAGATTTGATTTTTAGATAATATGCTCCTTAGAGTCAGCTTGCTTCACAATTATATTATACTTCACACGTGGTAAAATTAATGGTAAATGTATTCCATGTTGCAATGGTAAATGTATTCCATGTCGCAATGGTAAACAAAAGAAATTATGGAACACTTCTTACACTTAACAAGAAATTTCTTGTAAGTTTATTGAATACACAAGAACGGCCGGTGATGAGCTTTCAGGGCAATATTGAAATCAGATACATAGGTACCTATATATAATTGCTATATACAGTATACTGGTTAATCCTGCCTCCAGTTCTAGGAGAGGGCTATGATCAGTGCATTAAAATATGATCAGTGCACTAGAATAAAGTTAAAAGCTTGGCTACCATATGCAATCGCTATCAGGATACCAGGTCATTACATGATGGTACAAGGCTCCCACTTCTCCTAGCTCAGTATACTCTTCTATACCCTTCTGTGCGGCACATATTCTGGACATGTCCAAAGCTTTTTGGAAGGCAATAAGGAACATCACACAGAATAGACTTCTGCTTCGTCACAATAATCACAAATTCCCACATTTGAAAGTGGAACTAAATTGTATCGGAGCACCACAAGCTGAAAACACTATTTAATTTTTAATATTCACAGTAAACTCACCCATCCATGTCTCCATGCTTTATTCTGTTGAGAAATCACTTTGAAAAATATTGCCTAACATTTCTAGCTGTGGCCATTTTAAGTATTGGCAGATCTGTTCTTAGCTCAAGCATGCAAACAGGAGGGTGTGCTTACAACCAGCCAGAAACCAGGAGGCAAATGGAGAAATTTAAAAAAAAAAAAAGTTCAAAACAAGTAAATATAATATCTTTTCCTATCTATTTACTAATGTTAGCAGCATACGGATTAAAAATAGTTAATGTTGATTTAGAAAGTTTAGCTCTGCTTTAAGTGCAGTTTCAATAGATAATTGATAGTGAACTAATGGAAGACCTCAACTGCTCGATCAAGGAAACCTCCCACAATTTTTGTGAAACCTGGATTTACTGGCCTCAATTTACAAACTCCACAGGGACCATCTGTGTTCTATGGGTGATGTCCAAAGTCTGACATGTTCTCCTAATGCTAGCCAACATAATCACAATTCCACAGTCTTGGTTGCCTCATGTTCTAACCTTTCCTAGTCCTTGCTCCCTCTTTACGTATTTCTCCCTCTTATATTTCTCCTACGTATAGGGACCCCTCCTCCATTTTTCCTTTTTGTTTTCTTCAATTACGGTATTTTTTTTCTTTTTCCTTCTTACACATTATTATCTGGACACACCCTTCCTCAACTGTATCAACCCGGATCCCCAGCTCATCTGCCTCCATCCCTCACTGACTCCCTATCCCTTACCGACCCACCTCTGTTCTACTTTCTTTAAAATATGAGCAGTTGAAGAAGCTGTTCCAGGTGAAAATGACTCCACACTCAATTGGTAATGCACAGGTTCTCCAAAATAATTCTTGTTGTTTCTACTGTTGTAAACTTTTGAAATCCAATACCTTCTTATTCTAACATGTCTGTGTGTTGCCTGTGACAAATATAATGTTACAAGCTCATGTGACTGATTTGCCTATGGAGAGCATTGCCTAGAAACCACAGTATTGGCTAGAGAAGCATAGGAGTTTAGATCAATGAGCAATGAATTCTTTGGCATTCAGAAGGAGTGCTGAACATCAGTTTAAACTGCCCTATCAGGAGAAGTAGCAACCTGGAACTTGACAGCAACATGACGTGCAATTGGCTCTATGCTACACCTGGCAGTCCTGCTGCTTATGTTGGCTTTGCAGAAATCTGCTTCTCAATAATGTAGACAGTATTATTTTGTGATCAACTTTCCTAGTATACATAGATGATCTGGTATCTAATAGGCATTTTATTTTTAACATTCAGTTTTACTTTAAACATAGAGTTTAACCTGCTTATTTTTTGCCTTCCCTCTTTCTTCCTTTCCCCCATATTAATATGCTAATAAAATTTTTAGGTTGAATATTGATTTATTAGGATTTAGCAGAGGTACAATAAAAAGCATACGATACATACGAATCAAGAGTAACAGATAACTCCAACACGTTCCGTAAATTCAGTCCAACCCGCATCAGAATGAGGCATATAAACAACATAAATAAATGGCATAGAGAAACATAATATAATATATATACGGGCCCAAAGGCCAGCTGCATGCCACATGTGAAATGCTGAAGAAATGAGCTAAAAAAGGCGATGGACTCATTACGGGTTCATCTAGGAATCCGAAAGGTACAATAGATAAGCCTTTTGCAACCAGAGTGCCTTGAAGTTTCTGCAGGAGTGCCTTTGCAAAATACCTAAAAATTGCTCAAAAATTGTATACAA